TCGTCCCCTCTTTGTTTGGCTCTGCAGTGTTTCCTTGTGTGTATCTGGTTTCAGTTTATCACCTACCAGTTTTAGATGTGCAGAGACAAATTTCCTGTAACTCCAAATGTTTTATGCTCTATATAAGCTCAATGTCTTAAATGCACCCTTCACGGGGTGGAGAGGAGCACCTACCCCTGAAAATACAGGAGAGGGAATATAGCTGATCTGAGAGGAAAAGGACAGGTTTATTCTCCTATCAAAAGCACTGTGGTACTTCCAGTAGTCATGAGGGTGCCTAGGCTTTAATACATAGTACACATATCGAAGCAGACCTCCACGGCAAATCTGCACGGGATCGAGCCAGTCTGTGTAGCCCAGAGGAATAGCTGTGACACAGCAGCTGGTATTTTTGCCTGTGAATCCAGAGAGTGCATGAGTGGAAGCGTGTCTGTGCAATTCAAACCTGTCGCTAAGGCCATTAAATCACCCTCCTAGCTTTCTCTGCAGCCATTTGAAACTGCTCTCTGGCACTCCTGGCACCATCCTTACCTGAGACAGAGGCACTTTCATCTCCAGTCGCGCTAGGGATATTTATTGAACAAGTAAATCAACAGTGGCTCCCACTGGACTCCAGCTGGCTGACCAGGCGACGCACCGCGGTGAGAAGCAGCCAAGGAAGGAAGCAGGGCGCTCAGCCAGGAGCGGGCTGCTCCTCGGTGGGATTGCAGGCACCAGCCCCGCGACACTGTTTGGCCTGAGCCGCCTGGGCCTGCCGTGGGCCTGGGAGTGCTGCCACGGTGCAGTGCCTTAGCCACGCAAGAGGGAAAACGCTACCAGGATTCCCCACGGAGGATGGCAGCACAGTCCCAGAGCTGGGTGCGTTTACAACATGCAGCTCAGATTTTTCCGTTAAAGATCCATCTGGAAATAATGGGGGGAAGCCCAGGCAGAGGAAACCTTAGCATGGTGACATTTAGAGAAACCAAGCTCTACCAGCTTCATGATAAATTAGTTTGTCTCGAGACAGTGAGCAGTACCACTCTAGCTCCCTGCAGCAGTGTGAGTCAGCCTAAGTTCCCCCGTTACCAAAGTTTAAAGACTTCCCAGTCGACAGTCAAACATGTCTGTGGAGCCAAAGAATGCAACAGAATTGAAAGGACCTGGTACATAAGGTCTATGATTTGTTTTTTTGTTGTGACCTTTACGCAAACAAGTTAAAGGCACCGTATTTCATTGGAGAAGTGAGCTGGCCTACTGGAGTTGAGAAGATGTCACACAACTGCTAAATCACATTTGATGGCATTTTTTAGGCACAAATGCGCAGGTCGAAATGCCCTGACAATGCACTGATGGAGGTCAGCAAAAGGCATATGGACAGGCTAATCAGCCTTCAAACTTGCAGTAATTAAAAACATGTGCTCCCTGCTCGCCTTTAGCCAAGTCTCCTTTTCTCTCATAGAGCCAGTGAAAATGCAAAGAATAAGATTGGCTAATATTCCTTGAGGGTTTGTTTCCATTTACATTTTGACATAGTTAATCAGTTCTGCTGCTACCATGCCTCACCCATTTAAATTATGACGAAACCAGAACTCAGCAGCGTGATATCATTTCCCATACCATCCTGAAAAATTTACCGTGACTGACAAAACACACACATTTTGCATACTGGAAAATAGGCAGCTGGGTCACAGGTAGCAAGTGAGAGAGATAAATGACTAGGTACTGTTATATTTTTGATGGAGTACAACAACTTCCCTCAGCACAGCAAAGAATTCATAGCTTTGATGCCTATGTTTGGCCAGGATCATCTCTCCAAAACTGCCTCAATTACAACCTACTCAACAGGCCTTCTACTTAGTGCTTGCTCATGAACCCCTTCTGATCTGCATTTCAGCTGCCTATTTTTGGATTCGTAGATGTTAACCGATCAAGATCAGAGCAAACGGCCTTCGGAGTCACTCTGACAAATGCTGGAGGACAGCAACGCATCAAGAACGTAGCAATGTTTTCCCAAAATTCTCCTGTGTTAACCTCTATCAGCCCGCCAAATCTTTTGTGCTAAATCTGTCCCTCTGTCATTTTTTTCTCCCTTGCCTGTCACCCTTTGTGCAAGGGAAATCAGGCAGTAGGCCACAACACATATTGTTCTTAAGCTATTTTAAAGCTGATTTAGTACTGGTGAAAGATGTCAGCCCCGAAGCCCAAGATAGAGCACTAAGATAGAGCAGTAGGGCAAACTGCCCAGATACTGCCCGTTATCAAAATGCCTTCAGGGAAAGTGGGAATTTAATCTTCGTGGCCTGCCCCATGTTTTGCTTCCCTGGGGATGCCAATCAGTGTTCAATATGGCTTTTTTTTAAAAAAATATAATTTTGAACACTTTATGAACTCAAAGATCGTCAGCTCACTGGAGACCAGCAACTGGCCATGAGATCACTTAGCAAGGATTTTGGACGCAGTTAGCAAGGGTCACATTCTAGCCAGTGACCCAGAAATGAGTGGCTCTGTAACCTTTTTCCCACCTCTGCTTCTTGCCTCCTAACGATTGCTAAATTGAATCTGAAAACATCAACACTGGTGACAGGAACAAGAGCTCTTATTCCTGGGAACAAGTGTTGATGACAGGGGAATCACTAGTTTTAAGCAGATAGCACTGGTTCCTGGGCTCTGCTCCATCAAATGAATCTTTCCTTATTATGTTCCCAAAGTCCCCTGGGCAGAGGAACATGCCATAGAAGCACAGCCGGTTATTTTTCAGAGACTTTCCCCTCTGGGCTGTCAAAGATCTGAGGGAGCTGGCAACCAGCCCACGCTTATTCTGATAAATGCTATTTGCAACTAAAAATGGATTAAAATAACCTCAGAAAGCTTGTCTGAAGGGGAACAAGCAGTCTTGTTCAGAGATGCCATTAGCAGGAAGAGGTGGAGAAAACTATTCTGAGAGCTCCTTATTTTTGGGTTTCACCCCACTTTGTCATTTGCCCTGACCAAGGCAGAATGAAGAGACTATATTTAGCACAGTCGATGGGAGCAGCAAACAGGGTCTGGCCCAAATTCAAACCAAAGGTCCCTCTGGCTCTTTGTCCATGCCTCTCACCATGATACAGACCCAGGGAACCAGACTCTCTGATCACAGTGTTCATTAAAGAGTGCGGTTTCTCCACTAACTACAAAAAGGCACTGTATTGGGAACTAAGCACTGACTGCTGCTTTTGCTCTGATGGTCCTGCCCCTTCTCTCAGTCCTTTGGAAGTCAAACTCTTCCCTTCCCAGATAGCTGGCAGCGAGGGGGGTGGGGGAGTTTGAAGGGTTCATAGAGGGAAAGCGTTGATTTCCTGCTGCCATTTGTAATCACTATTTAGCAGTATGCAATTAGACTGGTCTCGCTTGGAGGGAGAGGTTAGCTGAGGCCATGACAAGCTGCTAGGAGGCAGGTGCAGTGCGAAAAACATCAGAGCCTGGGGGTCTCAGAAGACAAGCTGAATGGCAATGGTAGGGCAGGATGTTCAAAAGCTCGTCATGCTGCTATAGCACAGCACCCAACAACGGCAGTGGGAGTTTTGCCATGCATGTCACCAGGAGCAGAATGAGTCTCTGTCATTCTGCCTTGGAGCAAATGGCCCTTATTGCACAAACTGTGGCCACCATCTCTCAGCAGAATATGTAAAAAAACCTAAATACATCCTCATTTCCCTATTTGGGCCCCCTTTCTCTCCCTAGCTCTGTTTGCTTCAAGTGGCAGAGCAAGTCTGGAGGCAGTGGTTAATTGCGAGGGAGTCAGACGTCACTTACTGAGGATGCTTGTGACTTATGCGGTCCTGGAAAGAGGGAAAAATCTGTTCTCGTTTAGCCTGTTCTGGTGCAGTCCTACAGCCTCTGTGGAGCTTACCATCATGTAAGCAGCCCCAGACGAGACAGCAGGCACTCTAGGTGAGGGTCTGCAGCAGGATTTCCCACCCATCCTGCTCAGCCCTCCACTGCAGTCTCAGGGAAGGTCCAGCTCACCCATCCGCCAGCAGAGAGTAGGGTCCCAAAGCCAGCCCCAAAGGAAGGAGCTTTTACTGTCGCCAGGGTCAGCTGTCGACCTCCCCGAGCCTGGCGCTCTGGATTAACGCTTCTCAGATGGGACAACCCTACCAGACCCCAGATAAGCCTAAAAAAAGGAAGATATAGAGCCCATCTTTCGCTGCTGAGAAGCTTGGTTTGTATCTCTGCCTTGTCAACACCACGGGCTCTCTCTAGCCCATAGACCAGACATTCATTACAACTGCAACAACCAAAGCTAAATTGTTCATTCACGCTACCCAGCCTCCTGGTGGGTCCATACACCTTGTCATAGGTTACAGAGTCGTTACACAAAGCAATATTTAGCTTCCAGAGAAATGGGCTATGGTCTACTTCCTAGAAGTACCCGGGCATTTTATCCCAATAAATTCCCTACTACAGTGGAGATACTGGCCATGCATTTAATCTCTCTTGCCCTGTCCCTGTGGCCTCTCAAAGTTATCAAGGCCATTTGTGCTATAGGTCTAAAGTTACTTCGGAACTAACTATGGGCTAAAGGCACTGTGTGATTTGTGGAAGAGGGGTGCAGAGTACAGATGGGATATTCTTGTGTGCCCTTTTGGACTTCAGAGTACTCCACTCAATGTCATATATTCTTTAGGAAGCACCATTGCTCAAGAGTGTTGTTGCTTTTCCAGGTTTTTTTCATAGTTTCCAGTCTGTTGTGGAATAGCTCTCTTTCTAGGCTACTGGGGACTGCAGCGAGTCTCCGTGACCAGCCCTTTCCTCTTCTAGTTGATCTTCTAGTAACTCGTGAGCCATGAATAAAAATTTCCATTATTGCTTATACTAATACCGCACCTAAGGTGGCAGGTTGAATAGTGCTTAATAGCAATAATCTCCCATCTCCATGTAAACTTTTTTTTACATTTTAACACTTCCGCTTTACAAATTCATTATTCAAAAATAGATTCTTAGTACAAATAAGGAATTAAAAAATTATACCTGTGGATTTAATGAACCATAAGTGAATACACAATATTTTCTCTTGAAAGCATCATATGTTACTGTAAGAAATTTGTAATGACTTCACCTTAATCCTCCAGATTTCACTGAAATGATCCTGGGCACAGTCCTTTTGATAGAGATTTGCAGCCTGTGGATCTGTCCGCACTGGCATTCACACTTCTCTACTCCATTGACTGATCTATTACGATCCTTCCAAACAGGCTTTCTGAATTTAAATCTCCTTTTTTTTTTTTTTTTTAAAGATGGACAAAGGCAGGTGAGCGGCTAAATGAGAAACATATTGTTTGTGCATAGTAAACTGACAAGTAGCATTCATAGTCACGCTTTCACCCAAAGTCCAGAGAATTATCGCACAGACGAAACGCAGATGTACCATCCAGTCTCCCTGATTAGAAATCCATAACAACTCCTATATAAAAAATAAGAAATACAACATACTCTTAGGTTGCCACAGTCTTTCAGGTAACTGGAATAAACTTCCAAAGGGACGTAGTTCATGGAGTGTGTAGATATAAAGGGTTGTTTCAAAACCTGCTTGGCACCTGTTGTCATAAACATTGAGGTATGCTGAGGCATATCTTCCAAAGGGGCCATGATCAGAAGCTTTTCTACAAAAGACACCTCCTGCCTCAGACCTCTTAAATCCCCGGAGCCTGCTTCGGTGTTGACCTGGAGATTTCTCCCTTGTCACTGTCATTGCTGCTGTGCTCTTTTGTCGCACTAACAGCCCCGATTTTTTGGGTCGTCAACAAGCTGTAACATCAAGTCTGTGGTACATCAACTTCACTGACATTTTTGTCAGCTTCTAAAGTTGGCACGTGACTGGATCTGGGCAGCTCTCAGAGAGCAGCCCACAAATGTGTATTCTCAGGGGATGCTGGCGTGGCCACAGGATCTTCTGGGGCTGTGTGATTCCCACACACCTTCCCTGCCCTGCAGGAGAGCCCTGGCTGCTGCTCCACCTTTGTGCTGTGTCCACATCCACAAAGATGTGACACTGAGGTTTAACATCAGCAATCATAAGCTTTGTATGTTGCAAATGGCACAAAAAATAGCTGAAAACATGTGAATAAGAGCAGCAGATGGACAAACGACATTCATGTTGTGGCACCTGATTTTCAGGAAGAAGGCTCTAGGAAAAGCTTCTCAAGGACAAGATTATTATGCGCTGGAAAATAAATAAATAGCACCCCTCAACCCAGCTAACGCCTACAGACAAAACTGACCCTCATTTTGCTAACTCACATGACATTAGTTGCACCTCCAGCCCTCAGACTGTCAGCCATCACCGTGAAAAAAAGCTGTGGTATTTCTCTTTCACTAAGGCCCCTGTATTCCCAAATCAACTACCTCCAAGAGAAGGCTATTAGAAAGTCATGTTTTTTGGTTTGGTTTTTTTTTTTTTAATGGATGATGCCTTTCCCCTACCTTTTCCCAGCCCATAGAGAATACTGGAATCCCATTTCCATGCTTATTTGCCATAGCCAGGAAGTGTGGAAAGTGTTATAAAAGCAAAAGCAGAGACTCTTGCCAGATCAGAGGCTTCCAGGAGCCAGCACAGTGAGAATAAAAAAAAAAACAGATAGCCAGAAGATTTACAGTCAAATTGCAAAAGTTAGGTCTCAGATAGAATTGAGTTACTGTGGCGTAAGTGACCGTGAGTCATCTGCGCTGCAGTAACAACAATTCACGTGCACACATCACTAGCCAGGACTATTGCAAGGCAAATGAAATGAAGTTCAGCCTGTGATGAAAGGGTTTAAGATGATCAGCTTACACTTGTCACGAGCTGAGGCACGCACGCACAGACAGCTGCAGCAAACCAGCAGATGCGCTGTAACTCGTAACGCCGCGGCGAATCGCTGGCACGTGGGATCCCGCAGCAAGCTTCCCTGCGCTCCCCCAACCCCTGCTAGCTGAAAGAGAAAGCAAAGCACAGCCTTAGGGAAGGCAAAATATTTCTGGGTCCAGTGTGCCAGCTGAGTACCTGGTAACACGGGAGAGGTCCACGGTAGCAGGCCAAGTGTCCTGAGATGCCAGATTCATCCTGATACTCCCTGCCTGCCTCTGCAGCTGGCTCCGATGCAGGTGAATTGTTGGACTTGCATTTCAAAGGGCAGGTAACTCTGAATGGTATAAGTTATCCTGGAAACTTTCTCACCTGAAATGTCAAAGGGGCATTTTAGCAGACCTGCACAGCAAAGCTAGAGGTCGTAGCAAGGCCTGGCGCTGGGGAAGAGTGCGAGTGCCAATGTTTTCACCTCTGATACGCCAGCTTTGATTCCTGGGCTGACAGCTTTGACCTCATGGGGCTTTTTGCAGCAAGGAGACAGAATTAAGTCAGTGTCAGGAAACGCACAGCAAGGGAAATATTTTGAGGTGGGCTAAAAATAGATTTCTGACCCTGTTTGTTTTATATATAGAGAGGTCTATACGTGCACTTGCCAGTAGCTAGTCAGCATAGGGGCAAAGACGTTCCCCTCACAAACAGGGGAAAGCTGAAAGAGCAAATTTCCCCAATGCAGCTGCCAGGCTTTCCCAAAACAACTCCTCCCAAAGGGCAGAGAGTACATTAGACAAGGCCATATTAAGTTGCATGAGGGGGAACAAATCCACGATAGGGGGGACCAGTGATAGCTCGTGACTGCAGCTGGAGGGGTGACCTCTGCCAGGTCTCTTTTGACACAGGACTCGCTTGCATAACATCCTCTGGGGATTCAGGAAGAGCATTCACAGGGGGGGAAAGAAGGCATGGTGCTCCGCAGCAAGAACGTGCAAAGTGCAGGCCTTGCAACGGGGGAGCAGACTCCAAGGGCAAGATTTCTGGCTCATAGCGAGCAGCTGGGCTTCACAGGAGCAAACCCTTTCCTTTCCCCCACTGCACTGAAACACTCACACTCCAGCCTGCGGCTTCATCCAGCTCCCTGTTGCTTGGACTTGTATCATGATATCTCAAGACACATTTAGCACCATCTTTAAATCCTAGCCTTTGGTTTTACATAAAAAATCTCAGTTTCCATTCAGAAAAGAAAATGTACTTCTAGTCCTCCTGATTAGAGAGAAGTGCTGGAGACTGTTGACCCAGTTGCAGCCAGCAGGATTCAGGCTGAATCCAGAGACAAGGAAAAGGAACCAAAACACATTTTTTATTCAGTCTCAAAACATTTTTTTTTGCACATTATGCACATTTTCTGCAGCCTGGAGTCGCGACTGAGCAGTGGTGAGTGGGGCAGGTTTCCTCAAAGTCCCCTTCATTTGGAAGTGAACCAGGCGTCTGATCCTGTGGGCCCTCCATGTGCCCATAGTATTAATGACATCAGAAGAATTACTTTTAAAATAAATAGGATTATAAATCTCAAAGACCTGTACCTTTCCTCAAAAATCACGTTGCCTGAAAGGTTCACACCATAGACCTCATTGACTGGGACCAGACCTTCTCAGCCGGGTGCCACAAGAGCCTCCTGAGATGCTTGGGAGCTCTGGGGTCTGGGACCTGCTTTTACAGTTGTCTCCTCTCTGCTGGGATGCTCTGAGCAGCCATGAAAGGTTTAAATAATTGTGTGCTGTGCAGCCTCACCATGGGTTTCTGCACGCTGCTTGCTGGGGGAAGGCTGTGACTGCAGTTAGCAAGTAGGGCTATGTTCACAAAGGGCCCGCTGATACTACAGCGCCTGGCTGCTAGGGTCCTTGCACCCACGGAGAGGCACTGTCCTGAATTAGGTTCCCAGGCTCTGTTTTACAACGCTGGGAGGTTGTTAGGTTTTTAAGGTTGCAGCGAAGTAAGCTGGAAGTCCCCTAAACTGTCTAGCAGAAGCTGCCAGGCAGAAGGGCTTAGGTGGCAGCCTCCAGGAGAAGAGCAGCAAGTCACCCCTTGGGACCAGCAAGCCTAGGGTCACCGATGGGCACCCAATAGCGGGCAGAGCCTTTTCTGTCCCTCCGAAGGTTAATGCTCTGTCTGCTGGACAGACAGATTTCAGCGTTGTCTTTTTTCTGAAGCCCATTTTAGGAGGCCTGGTCTGAAGATAGTTATGAGATCAGGCCCATTCCTCCTTGGGAATTCAGCTACCACCAGATCTTCCCTAGGTTTGGGCAGACAGCCAGAAACCAGGCTGCCACAGATAGCTGAGCATCTATAGGTGTAAACAGGAGCTGACTGGGGCACTTAAACGTTAGCTGCAGACACCTAAAGACATAGTGGGTCTCTTTCTGGATTTTGGCCTTCAAGACAAGGCAGCGCTGGCTTTGAAGTTAACATTCAGTCTTAAGTTTGCCTTCTGAGCACCTGCAGCACAACACGTTCAGTGTCCTGTATTTACATGACTCACTCCATCACCGGCGCTAAGGGGAGGCTTGAAGGTAAAAAAAATAATACATGCCACCAAGGCCAGGCACGAGGCTCTCAGGGAAGCGAGCGCCTCACAGCAGGCGGGCAGGGGGACTGTGCCTCTCACTCACAGAAAATCCACCACAGAGACTCCGGCAGAATCAAGAAAAAAAGCCTCAATGCCCTCCCTCGCTGCATCCCCAAGTCGCCGCGGCTGATCCCCTCCCAAGAAGCAGAAGGCGGACGCTCGGCCCCAGCTGCCTGCTCAGGGGAAGCGGAAAGACTTAGTTTCCCATACAGCCCCTGGCTGCACTTTATACCTTACAAAGTAGTATTTGGTTTTATTGCTAGAGATACCAAAATATGTGGGTTCTCACTGCACAAAGAGCATTCTTTCAGTAAGAATCAATAAGTAGAAATCATTGATTTGCGCCAATCAATAAGTAGAAATCCCTCAGGTAAAAGCCTGTCTGGATGCCCTCCTGCTGAAAGTGGCTCTGAGGAATCGCAGGGTTTTGCATCTGGCCCCGGGGAGCACTGCCGGCCGTTAAACAGCAAAGCCAGGTCTCTGGGACACGCAGGAAGGACTAACAGGCACCATTTGTCTTTTGGGGGAGGGTTTGCCATGTCCTCATCAGCTGATTGCCAAGGAAGCCCGACCTCAGACCAAACACAGCCCCACAGCGAGGCTGTGCCCAAGGAGGCGCGGGGACACGGCACAAAGGGACGCTTGAAACAGGCTCACGGGGGCAAGCAAGGAGGAAACAGGTAACTGGAGATACTTTTCATATCTATTACTGTGCTGCTCATGTACACAACAAGGACTCCCAGACCCCAATCTCACCAGTCCTAATTCTTCTGCAGCCTGATGATGTAAGACATCACTTTTTTTTTTCCACAATGTCACCTGTGAGCTTTCCCAGGAGCCAGAGCCTGCATGGCACCAACTTCCGCAGCATGTCACAGGCTCAGCACCGCTGGGTATCGAGGGTCCCTTGAGATCCCCACTCCATCCAAGTCTTTGTAACGCTAGCCCATTTTGGGCTAACCTTATACCGTCTCTTCTGTCTCCCTTAGCCTTTCTGATGGAGGAGAGAAAGGAAAAAGCTCAGATACCTTCATGTTCCCTCCAGCAAGAATCCTTCCCAAAACGCTCATGTTTTTGGAAACAAAAAGCAGTTACCTCACTCAGCCCTTTCAGCCTAAAACATTGGAGTACCAACAGTTAGTTCCCCAAAATAGCACAAGGTAACTTTGTTCTCCTTTTGCTTCTTGGGAGGGGATTGGGGCGGTACAGGGTCATTTTGCTAAGAACATCACATTTGAGGCTCCTGGTTTTTACCTTCCATTTCAAAAGCCTAAAAGACATTTACATCTCAGGCTTCCCTCCAAGAACCGTGAGGCTTTCTAACAACCCCCGGCGCACTCAGCTTGGCCCTGGACGCACTTGTCATCCCACTGCTCCAGCACTCACACAAAGCATGAGGCGCCCGGGCTGAAACCTTGGCTCACAAAAGTGCTATCACAGCAGCTCCGCAAGTGAGGAGACCTCACAGCCTCCTGCCCCCGGCTCTTCAGGCCCCACCATTGCAAGAACTGGGCTGGGAGGGCTCCGGCCCGCTTGGGACTCTGCACCTCAGGGAAACCCGCTCCACTGCACCAGCTCATGACATGGTCACTCCAGCCTCTTAGGAAAGAAGAGAGCCGCTGGAAACTCCCTCCATCCCAATCCTTCAGAAAAACATTAAGCCAAACCCTTAAGATAAGTCCCTGTGAAACTGCAGGCTCCTGAAACACGACGAGATCGTTCCAAGAAATACCATTTTGCCAACAAAACAAGCAGTCATAATTTGAGGGCTGTTTGTGCTTTTCTTGCGGTTTTCAATTTTTTAAGGACAACAAACACTTGCTCTGTGTGTTTATTCATAGGCCTCTCCTCAGCAAGCCAAGGGTTGTTTTTGACTTGTCCGAGGTGCCTCTCAATGCCATTGCCATTAATGGCAATCACTTTTTTCTGCTGATGTTTGTCAGTTAACCACTGCTCCCACTGCTGGCCAGCTAACATCCCTGCAGAGCCAAGTGGTACTTTGCACTTAAATGGGCAGATGCGTACAGCGTATCTAGATGCTGAGAAACCAGAGGCTGTTTTCCACAGGGTTATCAGCTATTTGAGTTCCATGAAGGCCCATCGCTAAAATCCTGGTGACATTTCTGTTCGAGGTCTGGCTTCTCTGCATCGCAAGCGGCCATCCCCAAGCACCTTGTCTGCTCCTCTGTTTCAGCCAGTGCCAGAAACTGTGGTTTCCTGCAGGCAGAGAGCTTTTCAAGTATGGTGTGTCCTGCAGGCACATAAGCGTATGTGAAGCAAGTCTCAGTTTGCATATAGCTTTGTTTATGCTGCATAGACCATGCACGCTCTTACAGATTTACCTACAGAAACGTGTGGAAATCTGTGTGCAGTATATGCTAAGTGAATGCATTTCTAGATGGCATGTAGAAGCGTGCATATGGTTCGGGTAAATATTGATGCAACAGTTTTCTCCGCAGTTTGGTCTGGCCACGGAAGCTCCCGACTGCAAGGAGCCTTTCTGTTCGGCTGGCAGCTCTGGCTGCGGCACATGCCAGCTGATTCAGCTCCAGCCGCAAAGCCACCCCGCAGCAAATCTGGCTTCTGCGCCCTGCGCCCAGGATGGAAGAAGCTTCGGCTCTTCCCTGACAACACTGCTCATCTAGCTGGTGTCTTGCTGCTCGTATAGCAAAGTCATATTCTTTGAGGACATGTTTTGTATTCAACATATACATATGGTGCCAGGGTAAACAGAGCTGTGGGTTTGTGGGTAGCACACTTGAGTGTGACTGTGCTGTGAGCAGGGGGTGTATGTGATGTGCTGGGTTTGCATTTAGTGTGTGCATCTGTAAACTATGCGGATAAAATGAGGCTAGTTTGTGTTACCATGAGTATGTTTTATCCCGTGTTTTACAAGGTGTTTGTTTGTGTGGGTGTTTGGGCATATTTTCAGGTGGCTGGATGGTCTCCAAGGAGCTATAACATGGTGAGAGCAGCTGGGACTGTATTAACCGTGCTAGATGAGCAACACAAAAAGGTCAGAGCTCTTCCTGAGTTATAATCAGGTTAAAGCATCCCCAAAGGCAAGCAGGGCTGAGGCATACTAGGATTAGATGTTTGCACTAGAGCACTTTACCAAGAGACATGGCTCCACAGCTCATAAGCGAGCAATGTGTGCCTGCAGGACAGCGGGGGGGCTCGCCTGCCACTGGGCCTGAGCTGTGGGTTGCTACAAGCGCTAAAGCACAGTCCTGGTCAAGAAGTCAGATCCCGCTTCCTTTTGCCGATGACAAGGGAGTCATAACATTTCTCATTATAGCTATTAAAAAAACTTAACAGTGTTCAATAAAAAAGTCAAAGGCTGACAGAGGAGCTTGAAGAGTATTTATAGGAGCAATTTAAAAGGTTACCTCAGTCAACTGCCTCTGCTGATGCTCCGATTTGTGGTAGCACCCGTTTGCTTCCATCCCTCTGCCTTCACACCCAGCTGCGTTAGCATGTGCTGAAATCAATGGCAGCTTTTAGAGCTAGACAGAAGAACAGGGAAAAAATTCCTCACCTCTGAAATGCCCATCTCTCTGTTGAAAGAAGCAAAAGCTTGCAACTTAGAAGCAAAAGAAGCAACTCACTTGCTGGGAGTTGTCATTCGAGTATCTCATGCTCTCATTCTGCAAGAAGCTGCTGAGTCCCTCGGACGGGTCAACCACCCTTCGGTCACAGCAGCATCACGAGGCTCACCAGGAGGGAGAGGTCATCCGGCAGGGGAGCCCACCCCATCCAAGGGAACAGAAATACAAGACCACTGAGCTACATCTCCCACCAGGCATCGCTGCAGGAGAAGAAAGACCAGATTTTTCCAGGTTTCATCAAAAGCAGGTATTTAAGTTGGGCAAAGCAGAACTGACGCAGCAGAAAAATAAACAAGTAATTTCCTGGCCAAAAAAAAAAAAAAGTTGATAGGAAATATTTACTTATTAATATCTTTAATTAATTCTTCTATGCAATCTGGCACTCAGAGATAGGAGGAGAGATCTCTATGATGCATTAATCATGATGCAGAGGTTTTCCCAGGCACACACAAAGCACAGCTTGTAGGAGGCCTGGATTCTAGTTGAGACCATACAACAGAAAACCCTGAAATAAGCCTGGGGAAGGGAAGAGAAGCTTTACCTTTCTCTAGTGCTCAGGCGTCTCTGCCCCCGACAGGCTATGTGACGTTCCCACCTCATTAGATATTATGGAAGCTGTCAGCTGAGACGAGCTGTGATCGGGACACAGCTGTGAGATCTGCTTTCACATCAGTTTCACCAAGAAGCAGAGGAAGAGAATAAAAATAACACTTGCTTTCAAAAGCGTGATGTACTTTATAAGCTGCTGAGGAGGAGGCTGAGTCTGACACTATCCCACTCAAGCATGCATCAGGCCAGAAGAAAGATAACAAAATGGAAAATGTGAATCTGCTGGGAGGACAGAGGCAAGGCGTCTCTGGACCGTAAATCAGAGCTGAGAGTGCGTGGAAGACCGGGGAGAAGCAGGCAGGCAGTGCAAACATTAGGTAGAGTTATGGTTTTCGGTGAAGTTTGTTCACTTCTGGCTGATGGCAAGAAACAGCAGAATATTGTGTGATGGATGGAGCGCGCTGCAGGGGGAAGAGGCACTCTGCTCGGCATGCGTAGCTTTGTTTCCTTGGGGCGGGTTTTATTCGGCTGTGAACATTAACAAAATGAAGGTTCACAAAACAAAATGTACTTGGAGAAGGCTGACCTAAACATTGCGTCAACTCCATTTATCTCTTGAGGAACACAACTGGGAGAGGTGGCTTCCTGCTGGCCAGATGGCATATCCTCCTTTAGCGACCCAGCACTGCTAGCTTGTCAGCACCTGACTGCCACATGTGCAAGACGATAGTCACCAAGGGTGCAAGCCTGAGTCCTCTGCTCTTTTTCCGTGCAGCCCTGCCAATGTGCCAAAGCCAGGCCGGGCTTCCTGCACAGCTCCTGTGTGCTCTCCTCCTGAGCAGGGGCATCTTGCCATGTCCACCAGGACATGGCCACTCACCTTCTTTTTAGCTGTCAACAGGAAAGGTGGCAAGCGTCCTGCAGGACTGGCCTGCTGCAGGCTCAGGCAGGAGCAGCACCATCAGGAGCTCCAGTCTGACGCACCCAGAGCCGACCAGGTGCTGTGACAGGGCAGCTGCTGGAGGTGGAGGTTCCCCTCACAATCCTGTACAGCTTCGTTAGTCCAGGTGTCGAGTCTTCCAAGCTCCTCTAGTACTTGGGACTTTCAGGGATGTTTAGCTGGTGAGGATAACTGGGAAGAAATAGCTTGTAGAAGATGGGCTGCAAGGAGAAAAGGAGAAAGGGAGGCAGACCTGGAGGTTGCCAAACTTTGAATGGTGTCCAGCAGGGCCTAAAAATTCAGTGTCTAAAATGAGGAGCTAAATAACACTTACTAGGGGACTTTTTTTTGTTTTGAGTGTCTAAGTAAACGAGGGATGAGGTCATGCCCTATGCAGCAAGGATAAAATATTATTCAGCTGCTAGTTCAGCAAGCACTACCCATCCCTTGCTCTGAACAAGGGTGGCTAAGCAATAGGGTAACTAAGGACTGCCATAATGCCTTTGCAAGAGGGGTCTGAATTTAATTTGCACCGACACGCACTGTGAGTGCTGGAGTCCTCCAGTCCCTGCCTCCGTGCCACGGTGTCCTCCTGGTGCTCCCCGGGGCGCACGGTGCAGCGATGCTCCCGCCAGCGGGGGCTGCGCTCTTTCCAAGCATGGAGTTAGACAGGACAGGCACCAGCTCAAGGGCTCCTGCTCCTTCATAGCTAAGTGACATAAAATAGATGCACGCTCTTAAAAATCCTCTTGTTGCTCAGTAAGGAACAATAGGGAAACGAATTGAACCAGCCTAGCAGGAGGTGTGAACATAGCCCCAGCTCGCACCAAGTCCCACCAGCCTCAGAGGAGACCAGGAGGAGCCAGTCAATTTGCAATATGGCCCGACAGTGTTTCGTTAGCCCCCTCCGATCCAACACAGCCCTGAGGTACTCACAGAGGATGCAGCAGCATGTTGCAAACCCCAGGCTGTAGAAGCCTGCGGGATGGACAGGATCCAGAGGACTTCTGCATGCCAGTGGGTAGACAAGGGAGCTCTAATGCTTTCTTATTTTATCAGTATTTTAAAAAAAAAGTATAATGGGTTTTTTTTTTGTTTAAGTCTGAAGGCTCTGAGAGAGCAGCTCAAACAGTACTTACAGGAGCAATTTAAAAGGTTACCTCAGCCAGCGCCGGGTCAGAGAGACTCTGCATGTTGTTCCAGAGAGGGCTGTCATGTGCTTCAGGGGCCGAACGTGTCCCAGACAGGGGTGGAGGACTGGTGACGGGACAAGCAGCCAAGCTGGGGAGGGACTCCTTGCATACACCGTCCTCCTTCGGTTTGTCACTATATCCAGTTTTCGAGAACCTTTATTTCAGCATTAGGCTGAAAGCCAGGGAAGCCTGTCAGCCACAGTCATTGCTGTAGGGACAGCTGCCCGTGCCCTAACCCAGCACGTGCCAGCAGCCACTGCAAGGGGTGACAGCTCACCTCTTTAGTCTGCTGAAATGCTCCAGGTCGCCAGGCAGGAGAAAACCCAGTCCGGCTCCTCCGCAGGCCGCGGGTCCCTGCTGGAGCTGCAGGAGGTAGCAGCGAGGGTGCAGGGGGTGCAGCCTCGCAGGTGTGCTGGGAGAGAGGGGTCAAAGACGAGGCTAACGCCACGCTCAGCTACATCGGGGCCTGCAGCAAAGTGGCACTGGCCTCATCAAACCCTGCAGATAAGCAGCGGGAAACACGTCAAGGTAAGCTACGAGATTCATCCGAGGACTTGCATCCGTATATGAGTTTATTTGTGTGGCAAGTAGGGGTATCACACAGTGACGAGAGCTCTCAGCCCAGCGTACGTGAGCTAGAAACATACTCGATAAAAATAGGCACTGCACATTTGGTAACAGCAGGGAAAAGTACAACTCCGGCTCTTCACATGCAATCCCGGTCTACCTATTATTATTGTCTGGGCTCCAGCACAGATCCCAGAGCCAAATTCTGTGGTGATTTATTCCTCCCTCAGTATAATTCCATTAACTGAGTGGAGTTTCTTAGTCACTGCAAAATTTGGCCCAAGTCTTTTCATTTGGACATTCATTTTATTTTTCTAACCATGCCCCTGAAATGTTAACCCTACAGCCTATAAATAATCATTTTCTCCAGCAGGACCAACATGGGATTTGGAAAGCAACCATAAGCCAGCACCTAGCTTATCCTGCATTTGCTTAGACATTTTCTGGAGGTGGTGCTGGTATCCAGTTTAACATCAGCCCCCAAATGCTTCTGCAGAAATTAAGCACGAGGTAGAAAATAAAGCACACATTCACAGAGACATGGGCATATGAGGAAGAGGGCAGAAATCATTGCTTTGTGCTTATAAAGCTGAATTTTCAACTAGTTAAAAACCAATCAGCCAGCAAACACAAAGAAGCCTGAAGATGAAGGTCCCAGCCTGGACATTCAGAAACACTTGTGGACTCTGGTCCTTTCACTGTGTGAGAGCTGGGCTCAGTGCTCAGCCGTGAGCTGCCTCTGGGTCCTTTGCCCTCTCCTACAACTGAGAGTTTTCAGCACTTGCGAGAAGCAAAGCCTGAGCACCTAAAAATGGCAATTTCCTGCAAACATTTTGTTCCTAGGACCTCCAGATCCATAAGTAAGGTGGCAAGGGGTCAGCATTTCTGGCACCCCCCTTGGACCCTCTCTGTAATCCTCACAGGTGACATTGGGCAAAAGAAGGTGACTCCTTCCCGCAGCACTATGTGACAGGAGGGATATACTAATAAAGCGGCAAGGAGGGCCCTGCAGACACATCACCGGCATCTGCACAAACCCCACGCGGTGCCGTGAGGGCTCTCTGAGCCCTTCTCTGAGCAAGCGAGCCGACAAAGCACGAACACAGCCACCGAAAGCCTGCGTGCAGCGGCCGCCGGGCGGGCAGGCAGGCAGGCACCCCTCTGGGAGACGTGCGGGCACACGCCGCCTTTCGCCTGCGGTCGGCTTGCGGGAGGCGTGGGTGATGCCCCAGCATCTCCGACCTGTCTTCCTCATTTGTTTCCTAGACTGAAAAATCCTACTTGATTAAATTTCCAGTTCTACAGTACGAAATACAGTTACCTTTCTTGAAATACAGCAATCAGACCTACACAGAGTATTCAAGATATGAGAGCACTGTAATTTTAGACAGCTGCCAGATTAGGGTTTTTGCTTTGCTCTTGATTTCTTTCCTAATAATTCTCAACATTTTTGCCATTTCAGTCACTGCTGAGCAGCGCGCTGACAGAAGACTGTCCACAAAGACGGTGGCTTCTCTTTCGCTATCAATAACTGCTAACGTAGACCACTTCGTATTGCATGTATAAGCAAGTATACACAGTTTACAGTGTTGCAGAGAGCACGCTTAGCTTTTCTGATACTGCCTTATCTGCCTTGAGTGTTCAGTATAGTTCCCATTCACCTCGTGGAGCCAAAGTCTGTCTCACAAGCTTCCTTCTTTCAATATGTTCAGAAAAGTTTGTATCAGAAGTTTTTAGCCCTTTACAAGTCATTCTTCAAAAATCTTTTTTTAAGCATGTCTTATTATGATTTCACATTTAATATCTTAGCATTTATGATCCTTTTGCTTTTCCGCTTTGGACATGACTTATGCTTTTTTTAGGATATCTTTTTACTTCTAATAATATTCTTTAATCTACTATTTAACTATGCTAGCTATTTTTGTTCTTTCTGAAAAGTCTTTCTGGTAGTTCAATTTATCATGGGCTCCTAATATCCAGATTCTAGACATCTGCAAGCCTTTTAACTCTTCTGCCTGCTCC